AGGAGGCCAGGCCAAGGCAGATGGGCGGTTCGGGGCAGCCGCAAACGAACGGCCAATCGAGACGCCTCGGGCGAGCCGGCGTCTCCGGTGGAAGGCAGACTGATGCTGTCGATGGCCGGGTTGGACGAAGACGAGACGATGGCGGTGAAACGGGAGAAGTTCGAGTCCCGATTCGGTCACGAGACCGTGTGGAATGTCGATACCAAGTGTCCCAGCCGCTTCTCCATTGATCGTCTGATTGCGGAACCGCCAGCCGAGAGGGGATTGCCTCACGTCACCAACATCTCTCACAACCTCACCTCCACGCAACGAGCTCCATCGCCAGAGGGGCATCAACCAATCGTGACACGCCAATGGAAGCTGGAGCGTCTGCCCGACCGCCATTGGTCGATAGCCGCCCCATCCGCCGAGGGCGCCAAACAGGAAACCGAGGCAACAGGTGGCCTGCTCTTTTGGCCCGACCAGACGACACGCTCGAGGCTTCACGAGACGTTCGAGAGACGAGCAAAAACCTCTGAGATCTACGACAACGACGAGGTGAACGACAATGAAAACGAAGAAGACGACGGCGACGGCGACGGCGACGGCGACAGTGACGGAGATGGTGACGATGAGTATAGCAATTCTGATAGTGACGAAGCCGAGCCGGAACACGTCGTAGGAGCAGTCGCCGAAGCGCCGATGCTGGCGCCAGTCAAGGCTGGGGCACCTCTCAAGCCGACCGGCTAGCGCCTCCAGACTCTTGAGACGGTACATTCGGGCGTGAAAAGCAAACCGCTTCCATCCGCCGCCAATCCAATACCTCCACAGGCCCCGTCGTGTACATACACTTTTCAGCCTCACTTCCGATTCTGCCAAGTCCGCTTTCAACAGGGCCCAGCCCGGCCAATCGCGTCCAACTGCGACGCCTCCATTTTGGCCGAATTGGCGCGAAGATGGGACAAAACGGTTCCTCCTCTCAAAAGTGGACATTTGTACAATTGACCTGCACCCCTCAGTTACGATTCCACTGGAGCACATCGAGACGCCTCTTCCGCTTCCCATCTGCTCGTCTGTTCATCTTTGTGTACAAAGAAGATTTGTCTACTAGCCAATTATATTTTAGCATCACTTTAACACTTTGACGTTTCTTTCTCCGAGGCACTGACTGTGACATCTGAACTTGCACAAATGCGACGAACCGATAAGCTGCCCGATGGCACCCTTCAACCCTACCACAAAGGGGCACTCTTCGTCTACTTTCACAATCCTCCACTTCTCCCTAAAGAATCACAATCAGTAGCTCATTTTAGGCCAATTTTAATCCATACGAAGAAAAGTTGGGTTTCGAGGAATCTCTTGTTTCATAATTGTTGAGCTTAATTCCATTTCGAGTGAAAATGTTGAGTGAAGAGATTCGAAGTTCGGTTCCACG